TAGTGATAGATATCATATTAATTAACCCATACCAGGGGGTAAAAGAGGCAAATTCCTAACATTCCCAAGAATATTTGCACGTAAATGAATATCACAAATCCAACTGGAATTAGAACTTGGCTTTCCGATGAACAATTCCTAGCCATTATCAATTACACCAGCCGTACATCCAAACTTACATCACCTAATATTCCCAAGCGGTCAAGTAGATGCTATTAAGATGAGAATTTTGCATATTAGTATGTCAGAACACTTCTTGAATAAAGAAAAGAAACCGATTAATGAATTTATTCTCATTTATAATGTTTATAAGTTGATAATGTTTATAAGTTGATAATGTTTATAAGTTTACAATGTTTATGAGTTTATAATGTTTATCATTTTTATAATTTTTCGTCCAATATTACTGAAGTTTTCTTAAACATGACGTCCTCGGTCTGACAATAAACTACGTCAGACTGCAAGGCTTCTGTGGTTCTCAGGAACATTGAAACACCTTAATTGCTGTTGTTTTCAGCTCTATCCGGAGTGGTAGCACCTGTTAGGGTCCCAACTATGGGCAAAGGGGGTTAACTGCGGTCAAAACAATATGAAAGTATAAAAATATATATTTTATATAATACCAGAAGAAATATTGCCATCAACACATCTTTGAAATAGAAATCATTACAAGCAATACATTTGACTCTCGTCAAAAAACCTCTTTTCAAAAATATGCGTCAATGAAACCTGATCTAGAAACTGATTTCTTACAAACGATACATGTTCTATTCATAGGAACCCACTGAGGTGTCGATATGGCGTAAAACAAAATAGTTAAAACATGACTGACGAGGGAGAATGTTTTGCCTGTAGTAGTTTGCCATTTCTTTCTGCGTTAGACCAGTTGCCATCCAAGGCTATAGAACACGGTCTGACCTGCTAACTATCCATAGCTGGCGGTTCATAAGAACCCATTGAGGTGTCGATATGGCGTAAAACAAAATAATTAAACCAATAAAACCAGACTCTAAACAAAAAGTCCTCTTTACAAAAATACGTTGATGAAACCTGATCTACAAACTGATTTCTTACAAAGAATACATTTTTTATTCATACGAACCTATCCTAAAATTCCTGATGGCATTAAATAACCCAAGGAAGCGGAAATAATCCAAAATAAATCTTAAACAAGAAAAATGATACCAATAACCCGGCTAAAACTATACCCATCTATATGGCCTTGTACCATACTACTATACCCTTAGTAAATATTATCTCTTTCACGTAAGACAATGGGTAGGAAAACCTTATTCCTGTAGCGAGTGAGAATTTCCATGAGATGCTCATTTATATGGCCTTGTGCCTGACTACGCTAACCTTAGTAAATATCGTTTTAATGTAAAACTAGTTAAAAATTATGTATTTCTCTAGAGATTGAGTTTCTACTAGATGCCCATCTATATGGCTACTATATAAGGATATATTCTATTATTTCTATAGTGAGTGAGAGTTTCTACGAGATGCTCATCTATATGGCCTTGTACCAGACTACTATATAAGGATATATTCTATTATTTCTATAGTGAGTGAGAGTTTCTACGAGATGCTCATCTATATGATACTGACACTTCATAAAATGGCAGTTGTAGCTTAAAAAAAGAATTCCATCAAAGATGAAGACCGAAAATGATTATGCTGAAAATAAAGAGATCAGTACAGTTCGATCGTCAAAGAGGTCATCCCCGCATGGTCGGATAAATTAATGCTTGTCTATGTTCATGATACAATGTTTTTTTTAGCGACATATCAACATCGATGGGATCATTTAATGCTGAAATCCAAATAATTTGAACACAATTTCATCTCTTCAGCTACATATAAAATGTATCGCTGGACATCTTGCTTTAAAATTGTATTGTTGGCCATTTCACTGTAAATATATTGTTAGTCATTTTGCTACAAAATGCATTTGTGGTAATCTCTATCTATAAAAGCCAGGATGTGTGTGTGTGTGTGTGTGTGTGTGTAACGAAAGCACGGCCGCAATTTTCTACGGATTTGCACCAAAATTTACATGCACATGCTCCAAGTTAGCGGGAAGGCCAAGACCGACTTTGCATTTTCCAACACCTATCGATAGTGGAAATAATCGATGTTTTTAATGCTTCTACGGCTGTTTTCATGTAGTTTGCAGCCATTTTCTACTGGCCAGGGTGAGAGCCTATATCTGGCTGCCACGAATAGACAGGGAGATTCTATTGGCCAGCGTGAGAGCTAACAACTGACTGACACGAATGTTAACTAGCATGCTAGCATGCAAAAAAAAAATCGATAGCTGCATTCGTTACAAGTAGGAAAAATTTAAATCTCCATGGCACTTTGCTACAAGTGGCTCAATCTCTTGCTTAAACTCAACGTTGATTCTGATTCCGCAGAACTGGGTTGGGTGTGAAAAAGAATTTGTTGTTAACATTCTTTTTTTCATTCGGTTTTTCCAGTTACGAGTTCTTTTTTAAAGCTGATCGTTTTGTGTTCATTTTGTTTAGTTCTTTTTTCGTAACAGATTTAATGTTTAGTATAGAGCTTAGAAAAAATTCGCAGTGTGAGATAGGCAAGAAGTAAGGCATGTAGCAACATCAGCACGGCAAAGGGCATTCCTTTAAAGGCAAGGAAGGGCAAAAATATTTTAAGCCAAGTGATAGCGATTGTTGTATGAGTCGTACGATTTTTGAATCAAGCACGGGCAACGCCGGGCCATGCTGCTAGTTCTGCTATAAAATGTATTTGCTTTAAAAATGTATAGATGGTCATTTTACTATGATTAACTATTGTTGGTAATTTTACTATAAAAAATCTATTTTATCCTTTCATAGTGTTTTGTTTTTGTTTGAGTGTTCAGTATTTGCTGGGGTCCTAGCAGGTGCTACCCCTCTGGGTCAGGGTGGACATAGGAATAGCAGCAGTTAAGAGGTGGTACTACGCTTCTCAAAACCTTTAATCTGCCGTTCAAAGGCCTTGCTGCCGGATGTAATCGTCATACCTTGGACTGGATATGAATTGTTTGAACACTGTTCAGTAAGATTACATCATAGATCAGTAGTAGTGTCTTCAATTTTCACAAGACGCCCATAACATATGGCCTTGTATCATACTATACTAACCCACGTAAATATTACTGAGTTGAATTAAAAAAAAATAAAAGTCTTTCTTGCAGTGAGTTTGAGTTAATACAAGATGCTCATATTACATAGCCTTGTACCAGAATTTAGTTAGTAAATATGGGCGATTTGATGTGAAAGAATAATTAGAAAACATTAATTTCTGTAATAAATTACTACGAGGACTCCATCATATATAGCCTTGTGCTAGACTACTTTAATCTTAGAAAATATTAGTGTGTTGACGTTAAGAAAAATAAAAAAAAACTTGTCTTCCTGTAGTGAGTGAGAGTTTCTACGAAGTGCCCATCATATGTAGCCTTGTACCTGACTACGCTAAGTTTAGTAAATATTAGGGTTTTTACATAAAACAATAGTTCGAAAACAAAATTCCCGCACTGCATGAGAACGTATACGTGAATCTCCTTTATATGGCCTTGTACCAGACAAATCTAACCTGAGTAAATATTAGCGCTTTGGCGTAAATCAGTCGTTACTAATCGTTTATTTCTGTAGGGATAAAGTTTCAATATATATATATATATATATATATATATATATATATATATATATATGGCCTTGAGTCTGACTACACTAACCTTAGTAAATATTATCTCCTTGACCTGAAACAGTAAGCAGAAATCATTATTCTTATACCGAGAGTTTCCACGAGGTGCTCATCTATATTGCCTTGTACCAGACTATTATATCCTTAGTAAATGTATCTTTGATCTAAAACTAAGTAAAAAAAAATCCTTATTCCCGTAGTAAGTGAGAGTTTCTATGAGGTACGCATCTATATGGCCGTGTACCTGACTACTCTAAGCTTAGTAATTTTTAGCGCTTTTATGTAAAAATCTAGGCAGAAAATGTTTATTTCTTGAGGGGTTGAGAGTTTCCACGAGACACCCATCTATATGGCCTTGTACCATACTAATATTATCTCTTTCACGTAAGACAATGGGTAGGAAAGCCTTATTCCTGTAGCGAGTGAGAATTTCCATGAGATGCTCATTTATATGGCCTTGTGCCTGACTACGCTAACCTTAGTAAATATCGTTTTAATGTAAAACTAGTTAAAAATTATGTATTTCTCTAGAGATTGAGTTTCTACTAGATGCCCATCTATATGGCCTTGTACCAGACTACTATATAAGGATATATTCTATTATTTCTATAGTGAGTGAGAGTTTCCACGAGATGCTCATCTATATGGCCTTGTACCAGACTAATATATAAGGATATATTCTATTATTTCTATAGTGAGTGAGAGTTTACACGAGATGCCCATGTATTTGGCCTTGTACCAGACTACTATATAAGGATATATTCTTTTATTTCTATAGTGATTGATAATTTCCACGATATGTCCTTCTGTATGGACTTGTAACCGATTACTCTAAGCTGAGTTAGTATTAGCTTTTTGACGTAAAGAAGTCTTTTGAAAGAGTTTATATCCGTTGTGAGAGTTTCCACAAGGCACCTATCTTGTACCAGACTATATGTCCTTGTACTATATTCTTGGTAAATATAATATTTTCTGACGAAAAAGATATCTTGTCTAGAAAACTGTTGCTACTTTAATGTGTTCGATTTTCACCGGTAGCATTTAGAATTTTTTTTTTATAATTCGTAAAAGATCACAACAGTGTTTCATCTTGATATCATATCAAAATTTATATATCTATTTCTATCTTTTTTCTTTTTCTTTTCTCTCTTTTTTTTTTTTTTTTGAATTCGTGCAACTAGGATTCACTTACATTTGGTGCTGACCTGAAGGGCACTTGTTTAACTTCGTCGATAAAGTCAGAACAAGCGTAAGTTAGCATGTATGTATATTATAAATGCAGGCATGCTCACTCCCTGCGCCGTGCACCGCCGTAGTCAAGTAGAACGCCCGGCGTACGTGCATGCAGATCGCGTCCTTATTGGCGCATGCGCACGTCGACGGAAGCCATAGAATATGCAGAATCGTGCCAGAGTAATAATTCCGGGTGCGTGTAAGTGCACTCATATTTATAAGACGCCGGAGAAGGAAACCTGCGTTTTCAGTGATGTTAGCTTGGGGCGCGACATGCGAATGGTTTTGCAAAGTGAGAAATTTGCAGTTAATAATGGTAGGAGTGGGCGGGCCGGTGGTGCTGGGATTGGTGCTACTGACCCGAAGGCATGGAAACAGAGGATATGAAGGGAAAGGACGCGGAAAGTGGGCGATGTCAAGCGCGGTAGGGGAGTCACGTGTGCCGCAGGTGAAGGAGATTTCATTTGTATTCATCAACTCACTGATTTGCGACAAATGCAGAGGTGATTTTAATTTTAGAATGCATAAAATGTTGGTTAATGCACCCTGTCCTGTGTAATTACTTACCGCTTTAACTTTCTGCATGCATATCAGCCAATGCCCACTCTACACACACGCACATAAACACGCACGCACACTTCTTCTATGGGACGTGTCCCTTCAGGACGTTGGCGATCATGACCCTCTACAATAGGCTGTCCTTCCTAGCCTTTACTAAATTCTCTCTGCTATCTCTCTTAAGCCCTGTTCTACCAACAATTTTCCGTCCTGGGTATGACGATTAACTACATCCGGCAGCAAGGCCTCTGATCGAGAGGTTTTGAGGAGCGTGGAACCAGCATTTAATTGCTGTTGTTCCCAGGTCTACTCTGACCTAGGGTAAGAAGACCAGTTAAGATCCCAGCCATGGACAAATAGCGAACCCCCAAACAAGGGACCAAACGTCTATAAAAGTATAAAAATAGATTTTTATAGTAAAAATACAAGCAATAGATTTACGAAAAAAATATTACCAGCAATACATTTGACTCTTCTAGAATAGACCCACTTTTCAAAAATACGTCAATGAAACCTGACCTACAAACGGATTTCTTACTATTCATACGAACCTATCCTAAAAAATTTTGTCGGCATTAAATAACCCATTGAGATGTTGATATGCCGTAAAACAAAATATATCAACCAAACAAACCAGACTCTCAACAAAAAAACCTCTTTACAAAAATGCTTCCATGAAACCTGATCTACAAACTGATTTCTCACAAAGATCACATTCTATTTATACGAACCTATAAAAATCTTGTCGGCATTAAATAACCCACTGAGATGTTGATATGCCGCAAAATAAAATATGTAAACGAATAAAACCAGACTCTCGACAAAAAAACCATCTTTACAAAAATGCGTTAACTAAAGCTGATTTACAAACTGATTTCTTACAAAGAATATATCTTCTATTCATACGAGCCTATATATATATTCTGCATATTTTGTCAACATATTTTAATTTAAGTATGTCTGATTAAACAATTAAAACCCACACTTAACAGAATTAATAGTGAATATATTACAAATGTCCTGAAAATGCTTATAGCTTTCTTTAGAAATATCTATGTTAAAATTAAACAGTTTAAATAAATCAATTAAAGAATAACCTACTAACAGGAATTAATTCCTATCTAAATTACCTCCCTTACATTAAACGTTTACAGTATGGAAATATTTCAAATTTACCCTTTTGTGACTTTGCGCATGACCGGAACTGTTAACGTTTTAACCACAAAAGCAACACTTTCCTTCAGACAACGCAATTATTTATAACCCTGAAGATGATATTGGAATATATCGAAAGTACTCGTAAAAATAAAAATGAATAGATACAACTATGGTATCTTCCTTGATCTCATTAATGCCGAAACAACAAAGCTTATACGAGATTACGAAAGGATATTATTGAAAATAAACAACACAACATGCCTAAATTGTTTAATCAAACATACCAAAAACGTTTATTAAATATAAATTATTAACCACATGACAGAAATGAAGGACGGGCATTAAGATTCTATGTCCGGAATTTTGGGGCACGACTGTGTCCTTCATCAACGACGCGAGAAATAAAAAAGAGAAATGGGAATATATATATATATATATATATATATATATATATATATATATATAAAAGTGAACACGGGTTAGTGGTGCATTTGGGTATTCTGCACCACTAACCCGTATATATATAAATAGCCGAGAAAAATAACAGCACACGTGGCCTGACGATTTATATATATGAAACAGACTGTCGCCTCTAAGTGTTGACTTTATGTTCACTTTTTATATTCACACGCTCTATCTCTGATATTGAGCACTTTATCCCATAAATATAGCACTCCTTAAGACTATATTTCTTTATATATATATATATATATATATATATATGTGTGTAAGCAAATATATGGATATAGATCCGACAGTATGAAGAAAAATACAGAAAAAAACAAACAAAAATTTTAATATGCAATTATGCTGTATTAATGTTAATATAAAGTCCTGCTGATTGGGGAGCACAGTGTACACATGCCAGACATTCTCACTTCTGAAGATAGTATTTTCTTCCCAGCCCTCAACTTGTGCTCTTTGCTTGTGCCTGCTCCATCTATTGTGTACCCAGTTGTAGTAGATGGGAAGCTCAACATACAGCTGCGTTTGGGCAAACAGGTCACTGGCATAATTTGAAGAATGCTGTCAAAGTGGTTTCTGGTGTATTCTTAACTACGTCTCGAGCAGTATCTTCTGTGGAATATACACACTGGCCATTTTTAAGATATAGCTAGATTCATCCCTGTTGGATGCCGCTCGTGGATTTCGAAGCCCAGTATACGCCAGGTTGCCCCGTTAGAAGAAATATATCCGCCCAACTGATAGATTATATATATATATATCGATTTTAATATTGAATGGAGTGAAAGGTTTAAATAACAATTTTTTATTAAATTTTTAATTTCAGTTTCGTTTTTAAACGCGATTTGAATTTATATTGTCTAATTACACCACCGAGATTAAAAATAAAACTTAAGAGGGAAAGATACGTGGCGCATGACGATTACGGACATTTGGACTTTTTAAGAAGGATGTCTATATCCACAGCTAGATTTGTTTTTACACATATGCTATATTGCACGAAAATGCCTTTCAAACAGGTTATTATTTGACAGACAATAACAACTACAACCACGATATGCCTTTTTAAGGGCATGTTGAAATATGAGCTTAGGTAAAGTTTCCATTAGCAAATAAGCTCAATTTAAATGTTATTTTACGTTTAAATGACCAAATGAATCGAGGCAATTTCTTTGTATTTAATAAATTCGAACTGGCGAATTTAATGATGCACATGGCGAAATATGAAGCGAATTATTTCTTTTGCAATGTAAACGAATTAATTTTTGTGCAATGTAAACAAACCATGGAGACCGTATTCAAAAAAAGATTATGCTGAATTAATGTGTTAATCTAAGATTTTATTTAGAAAATAACCTTCGATTCGTTCAGAGGTTGGCCCCTGATTTTGTTTTTTAAAAAACGAAGAAAGATCCAGATCTTTCTGGAATTTTAAGCTTTATAAGAGTTATTATTTGGTAACACCTGGATCTTAATTTCTTTGTGAGACCAATTATCACCCTTCTTAAACAGAGTAAACGGCGTTTTGCGTAATACCTGCCGAGCTGCGATTGTAGGGGCCTTAGCGGTCCCATTATAGCATTTTATTTTAAAAAAAAAGATCAATTAACCTAGTAACAAACGAGAAATTAGTTTAACATGTATGCAAAGTTTCATTCATATTGGTTCACGGGTTTAAGCGGCATCTGATTCAGACAAACAGACAGAAATTGACATCTATATATTTACACACACACAAAAATATATATATATATATATATATATATATATATATATATATATATATATATAATGATGATGATTTGAAAAGTCCTTGCTGCGACCCATTTTCCAGAATAAGTATTCTGATGTTTGGGCATTGAAATCTTGGATCGGAAAATGGGTCATTCCACGAACTTTTCGTATATATATATATATATATATATATATATATATATATATATATATATATATATATATATATATATATATGTATATATTTGTACAGACACACAGACATACACACATGTGGTGAGCGAGGGAGTGACAGTGAAAAAAAGAGAAAGATAGGGAGCGAGATATAGAACTAGTGTGTACTTACCCCGTTTTGTCATTGTGTACGCTTCAAGGCAAATGTTTATGAAACATTGTTTCGAACTCAATTACAAGCTGCGCTTTTCGAGATTACAACGCTGTGATGGGGGGGTGTATGTCTTACATACGGTGTGTAACTGATTCACTGTGTATTTTTATCTTCCTACACGATAGAAAATGAATGTGTGTACGCTAACGGCTGACTATTTGAAACTCTGAGTGAGATATACATACACATCTAGATACATATGCAAGAACACTAGAGCTTACTTGACGTAAAAGTCTTTCGGAATCGGATAATACCATTATTTATCACCATAAACACACACACACACACACACATGCACGCACAAACACGCATACACACAAACACGCACACACACAAACAGATATATATATATATAGTTTGCAATTGTGTTAAAAAAACATGCATACCATATACACCTACGCACATATATATACATAAATACATGAGCAAAATTTTATCTCCTCCATTCTTTCTGTATGTATGTATGCACATACAGACACACCCACACACATATACACACACACACACACACACACATATATATATATATATATATATATATATATATATATATATATATTCTAATTTGTAATTTGTAAGGATTATTCAAAAGAGGACTTTAATCCAATGTAACACCTTAAAACCAATATGAATTTTTAAGATGTTTTTTTTTTAATTTATCATTATATATATATATATATATATATATATATATAGTCAGATTACTGTCTGCACTATTCTGACAATTCAAATGAAAGAAGCGATTACAAATTTTGGTGGTCCTATAAATCAAAGTCCTGCAACTCGCCATGTATGAAACGTGTTTTAATATCAGTGCTCATGTATTATTATGTCTTTGAGTTTAATAATCATTTTAGTCCCCAAATGCTATAATCAATTCCAATAACAGTGCTCTACTTGATGACTTTGATATTTTTACCTCCTTTCTTTGAAACCAAATGCCCTTGGAAAAGGTATGAATCCATCTCCTTCCCTAGCTATGGAATTGTCTTTCAAAAATTTTCCTCCTACAGCGATGGACATGTCTCAAGAAAAATCATTTATTGTTATTCATAAAACAATTTAAATCAAATAATCGCACCCCAAAAGAATTATTCTCACAATCCCAAAGATATGTTTATTTTGTAAATAACCCATAAAAGGTTGATAAGCTGCACTAATCCCTTACCAA